GTTAACTGTTGTTTTAGTAGTTACTTTCACTTGTTAAATTTTCTTGATTCCCTTGGGTTATTACTGTTGAATGTCAGATCACTACACTTGCAATAAAAATATTAATATGAGTACTCAGTCAGAGACAGCGACTCCCGACTGTTATTGTCGTCTTCTTCAAAGTTTTGTATGGCTCCCAGGTATTCATCAATGCTTGTTTGGAGAGAGTCTTCAGTTTTCTGTGTGTCAACGTTTATCTCCTCCCAGTCAGAACTGCAGTACTAACCAAACAAAAAGACTTCATTAGGCAAAAAGAATTTTGAACCTTACAGTTTCAACTTGGTCTACACACAGGCAGACAGTTAGGGAACTTATATTCTGAAAAAAAAAGTGTGTCTTACCTGATAATAACCACATATAACATGACTTGCAAAATACCATTTCTTTGCACCTGGAATACCAGCCACTGAACATGCTGCAAAGAAATACAACAACTATTTAAAATAATAGATCCACTACAATCTATTCTTCCTGCTACAATGGCCATCTCTGTTGAAAGACTTTCTGTAAGTCATTTAATGTGCCACAATGACTTGAGTTCTACTTTCCTTTGGCATTGTAATTAAGTGCTAAACATATTAAGATGTAGGTAAGTGCTTTGGCAAGTATCTAACTACTACCGACCTCCTGACTGTTAATAAGGAAGAAGATCTTTTACCTCTTCTCTCTTCTGGGTAATATTGCTTTCTATTTGCAGGATCTGTAACACACCTGAACTAAATCACACCTTTCATAAATATGGTTCACAGAGTTCACAAAACTAAATACTCTCTCAACATTTCTATGTAATAAAAAGCACAGAAGTTGAAAACAGCTCAACATTCCCATCTTCATGAATTTTAAGAACTTCCAGCGGTTTCCCCACACGAATCCCAACAATACGACATCTGTGACAAGATAAGCTTTTAACAGCTCAACACTAGACATCCAAAACAAGCGAAGAGCTAAGAAAGCATTTATCTAACAACACAAACCAAAACCACAAACACCTCCAGAAATCTACTTAAAGATTATAAAATTACTTAATAAATACTCATGGATTAAGGCATTGAATTGTTACCCAACAGACAAATATTTCTCATGTCCAATCTATCTAATCTCCTAACGTCTTAGCTGCTGAATTATCATCAATTCTCCACAGAAAAAGGAGCAGCAGGAGCAGTCCCACACCACTGCATTTGGGTTTACTTTCATTTCTGACTTGTTTCCCCTCAATCATAAGATGTGCCAAAGTCAATTCCTGGTAATGTTTACCTTACTGTCCATTGCTATATTTACCTGGGAATACACTCAAATCTGCGTTTATAGATGCATTACAGCTTTCTTTCAGGAACTGATACATGTCTGCAGCAGTCCCAGCTGGGAAAAAAAAAAAAAAAGGTTTTTTTTAAAATTACTGAATCATGGAAGTTAAATTTAAAATTCCTGGCAATACAGCATAAAGTTCAGTATAATAGTAGAAGTTCTTGTTTGATTTTTTTTTTAATTAAAGACAACTATCATCTGCAGATTTACAGTTTTAAAAAGAGTTTTAAAAAGGCAAATTTTGCAAAATTCTCATTTAAGTCCTGCTCCTGAACCGCACCGCAGAGTTACATGGCAGTAACTTTCTGCAGGTTAAGGTCACTGTGAAACTAAAGCGGGGTTTAAGCAAACAGGATCCAGGCTGGGTTCAAGAAGGCAGGATCCAGGAGGGGTTTTAAGGAGGCAGGATCGAGGGGGGTTCAAGGAGGCAGGATCCAGGGGGGCTGCCCGGTCGCCCCCGCACAGCGCGCTCGGCCGAGCCCCCCGGCCCCGACCCCGCGGCCGTACCTGGTCCGGGCCCGCCCGCGGCCCTGCGCTCGGCCCAGCTCAGGAGCAGCACGTAGCGGTCCATGGCCGGCCGGGCCGGGCCGGGGCCGCTCCGAAGGTCCCGCGCTGCCGCCCGGGCACCGCCCCTCACAGGGCAGCGCTTCCGCTTCCCGCGGGCGCGGCGGGCCCGGCGCTCCCGGCCCTGGCAGGGGGGGATGGCGAGTTACACCAAGGCCGCCCAGGTGAGCCGGGGCGTTCGGAGCCCGGGGCCGTGAGGGAGCGGGTCAGCAGGCCCCGGTGTGGGTGCTGAGGGTTCCCCTGGCAGGAGCCGCCGTGTGCGAGGGACAGGGATCTCCGCAGCGGCCGGGGCTGTGCGCGGCCCGAGAGCTGCCTGGGGCAGCTGTGCCCTTCACCGGGAGGGAAGGGGACGTTGGGCACTGAATATCCTGCAGCGATGTTACACTTCGAGTAGCGGTAATGGGGGCTTCCAGCGGGAGGTCTGCATTTCTGAAACAAAACCGTCAGGGCCTGTGACCTTTCAGTGGTGTTACACATGTGCACCGCTCTGTATCGTGGTGCGCCGTCCCTTTAAAGGTTATTTGAAGGGGGTGTCGCTGGATTTTAATTTCTTTCAGTGTTTTTGAGTGTAAAAGGAGTGTTGATCTAATTAAAGAAGCTAGGTTATGGTAGTGTGAGCTTTTGCTGTGTTAAGTGCTGCCTTTCTTTCTCTTCAGCAATGGGCCACTTTTGCCAAAGCCTGGTATCTCCTCGATGCGAAGATGCAGCCCCCAGGAAAAATAGCAGCTGCGACTGTACTCAGACTTGAAGGCAGACATAAACCTATTTATCATGCACTAAGTGAGTGTTGCAGTGGTTGGAAGCAAATTTGCTTTCTTTCACTTGTATGTTTATTCCAATTTTAGTTTTAAAATCCAGCCTGATATAAAAGGTTAAATTTTTCAATTGTTTGTAAATTATAAATTAATTAGTTTTCTTTCTCATCTTTTTCCATCGTGCCGCTCTACAATTCTATGTTGTTTCTTTACCAATGCATATCAAGCATGTTATGAATATATAATTTATTTTAAGTAGCTGAATTACTGTGGGTTGTGCTTTCATTTTTTAAAAAATCTCAAAACATGTTTAATTGCACTGATTTTAGAAGTAGAGGTTTAATTCACAGTGCGTGTAATGAAACACTGATGTGATTCTTGGTTAGATTTTCTGAGTGCTACCTTTCAGTACGCACAGCACCACTGTCTTGGAGTGCTTCTTCATTCTGAATAAGGTGCAGAAAAGTTCTGTCTTCATGAGGCAGTGGGCACAAACTGAAACACAGAAGGTTCCCTCTGAACATCAGGAAACATATTTTAGTGTGAGAATGACTGGAAGTGGTTGCCCAAGAGGTTGTGGAGTTTCCATCCTTGGAGATTTAAAAAAAATTCCCTGCTTTGAGCAGGTAAATCAGAGGACATGACCTTCAGAGGTCCCTTCCTGCCTCAGACATTCTGTGATGATCAGGCTGGAACTTTTCAACAATGATTACGGGAGACATAATCACTGTTGAAAGATACCTTCTTGTTTAAATAAAACAATCATTTTCTTTTCTACGGGTTAGAAGATTCAGCAGTAACAATGTATCTGTGATAATTGTTGCTTCCTTATAGTACCGTGGTGCCTGTCTCACAGGGATAAGCACTTTGTAAATAGTAAAAGGTTGATCCCTCATTCTGCTGGTACAGCATTTCCTTTAACACCCGTGCAGATTTTTCAAGAGGCATTACCAAAACATAAAGGAAACCTTGAAGTTTGCTCATACATGTGAAATGTACATATTAAAATTATACTCTGTTTCATTATAGAAGGTAGGATTTGCAGTGGTCTAAAGATGTTTTAAATACCAGAGTTCTGCTGCTGCAAATTTTGTGGTATCCACAAGGTGTCACTGGAGACATAAGGCTGTGTGAAAAACAAAGCAGATGCTGAGAGGAAGTTTTTGGTTTTCCTGTGGGAAAAGATTTGACACTTCCGTGTCCATGAAGTTATAAAGTTCTGGAAAGTCATTTCAAGGGTAACTGTATTTGGCTTGAAGTATTGTATAAATCAGTACTAAATGCATTACACATGAGATTGACATTGAGAGGTAACTACTACTGAGACATTTGATATTCCCTTCGAGAGGAAAGTATGCAAAGATCTGTGGCTGATGTACTTAACACTTTTTTTTTTCTCTTTTTTCTGAACTAACTGATCTTTTAGTGTTTTTGAGATAACAATTGCTTAGACAGAATAAAATTGTGGGGATGTGTTGGTTGCTTTGTTTTTATTTTGGTATCCACATTGTTAATTTGGTGTTCATGCAAGTGGAAAACTGTTGGCAAAAATTTCTTTAGATGAGCTTATTCTGTCATCTTCCCAACAAAGAAAACCCAAAAAGGCACAAAGTCCAGTGTCCATTCCCTGATATTTATGTAGACACACAGTATTTTTTGAGCTGAACTGTCGGTGAAGATGTTTAAATTGCATTAAAAGAACACAAGAAGAAACAATCGTAAAAAACTTGAATAAGGTGTGAAGCTTGCATTGATTAATTATGTGCTCATATAAAAAAATGCATGCTCAATTTAAGCCCTGCTTTGTACAGCTGCTTTGTTACCTACTCAAAAATGTTTTAATCAAGTGAGTCTCTTCAAATACTTGTGTTCTGACATGGTGATACAAGTGAGAGTGACCTCTGGACACGTAGTTTTCCAACTAATTGAGTGTGTATTATAGCTTATACAGCTGTTCAAGATCATTACTTCTGAAATGAAAACCTACATCTTTTCTCATATCTTTATGTTATTTCTTAGATAGTTTGGGTTTTATTAGCACTTTATTCGTATGGAAGATCTAGTAAAATAACTGTTTCTGGCAGGGTGATAGATTACAGACTTTGCATTTATAAAACTACTGATATTAAAGTTGCTGATATAACTCTAAATATGTGTATGTGCTGTAACATTCACTTCTGCTTGATTGATGAAAATGTGGGAGTTTTCCCAACAGAGCTCTTGGGGGTTTTTTTAGGGCTTTTCTCCCTCATCCCTCCCCCCTTCTCTAAACCCAATATTTTTGTTTCTTGTATATATTTAGCCCTAGAGTGTAATTATTTAATAGAATTATTTTAATTACCCAAAATGTTCAGTCCTTCAGTAAACATAATAACTGTTTTCTGAAATAAAATAAATATTTAGGATCATTTGGAACTAACTTTTTTTCCCCTCTGTTTTTTTTTTAAATATTGGTGCATATGCAGCATAATGTGTTAAATAAAATAATACACTTGCCTCTAAGCCAGATTTCCAGATCTTAGCTGAATAATTGCAGTGATTTAATTACGTAGTCTGCCTTCTAACCTGACAGTACTAATAAATACCGTAATTAAGGGTAATATTTAAGTGTTGATTTGGATGGTGTGACTCAAAAAGCTCAGATCTTTAAATTTCAGCTTTATGAAATGTGTATTTGTGTGCTACTACATATGTATCACACACATAACAGTTGTTATTTTGGTTGATTTTCCCAGTGGTTCTCTTTAATGTTTTCCACTTATTTCTAAACCTTGTAGGTGACTGTGGAGATCATGTTGTCATAATAAATACAAGACATATTGCCTTCTCTGGTAACAAATGGGAGCAGAAAGTATATTCTTCACATACTGGGTAAGATTTATAGTAAATAATCAAATGAGCTTGTGATAAATTTGGTGTCATATTTTCTTGATAACAAAAGTCTTTTTATAGCATATTGGTTCAAAAGGGAATTCCTACTTGTGGTTTTGGGGTTTTTGTTTGCATGTGTTACAAATGATGCAAACCTTTTTCTTCCTTTTTTTTTTTTTTTTTGTAATCCCCAATATATAGTTGTTAGGGAAAGAATTTAACTCAGAAGGAATTAGAACACTTGAATAACTATACGGATTTGGTGAACCAGCTTGTATCTTGTATGAACCTCTGGACCCAGTGATCTGGACTATTCTGTTTACTGTGTAATAAGATATTTCTATTGACACTACATTTTTATTTTATATATAAATAAAATTCATCAGAGGATGAAAAAAATTGGGAAAATTAGTAAAAAATGAAATGTTCTCAAGATGTACTGATGTACACTACATTGTTGCATACACTAGTGTACAGTATATTATTCTGGCATACGTAACTTGTTTACAGATGGGAGTGAAATAATCAACTACAGACAGCATGGCAACGATCCCTTCAGTGCTCCTTCTTTACACAATGACACTACTGTAGGTAATAAACTCTAAGTGTCAAAATGTATCCAGTTGGGAGATGTATAACTCATATTGAAAAAAAAGTTTATTTGGCTGGCGCTAATGTTGCAGTCCTGAAATGTCTTTGCTGAATTGCTGAAAAATTCTTGTTCAGAGTTGATGGAAATTAATGTGTGGGGTTTTTTTCTCCACTCCCCCTATGACTTCTTAAAATTTTCACTAAAACTTATGTGTAAGCTGAAGCACTTGTATAAGAATTGTTAAAACTAACACTTAATTCCATGCAGCCCTGTGGACATGTCTAACTGATACTGAGCTTATTTTCATTTCACTTAGGCTGATATCTAATAATGTAGGTAAATCAAAATGAAACCCAGCTTTACCTGACTTCCTTGTAATTTCTTACCTCACTCAATCATTCATTTAAAGCTTATGCATAAATCTGAATTAGTGCAGTTTCAACACATCCCATGGAGTTTAGACAGATGGATCCACTGCAATAAAAGTAAAATTTTATTAGTCTTGCTAAGGTTTATTTAAAATAGTAAGAAAATAATAAATACTATTCATTATGGGTCTTTCTTATGTCATCCACAGTCTGGTTCTGAGTCTTGATCATCTGGAAATATTTCTGAGTTTTGCATATCTTACTCCCATTGTACTCCATAGCTATTATGGTGTACTTAATAAGCAGTCTTAAAGACAAACACATCTATGTGCCTGTGAAGCACAGCCTTTTAATACTCAAGTGAATAAATACGAAAGTACAAATGGTGTTAAACTTGGATAGTTGACAGGATGGAATCTTTCAAATAAAATACAGTTTGGTGTTTTTTTTAAGGGCTTATAATACCATTACACTGTTGTTCAAGATGTAGTGATGCTTGTGTTAATGTTGTGCTTGAGCACGTAGAATTCAGCTTGTATGTTTCTTCTGCTTTTCTAGTTATCCTGGTGGTTTCAAACAAGTGACAGCAACTCAGCTCCATTTGAAGGATCCAACTGCTGTAAGTGTTTCCCCTTCTTCCCTTCCATTTGTGAAGCTGGTTTGTTTTCAGTTAATTAATTTCCCTAAACAAATGGGATCAGTTACCTGCATCTCTGAAGTTGAATTACAAACATTTGGCTGGTCATTCTTAAAAGCTTGACTTGTGACACCATTTTTGTAAACAACAGGTTTTTGGGGTTAGATTGTAATTTGTGTTTTCATCCTTCCTCCATGTTGTCCAAAGGAGCAAATCAAGCTCATTTGCTTCGCTAATTTTCCACTTATTCACTTGCTTTTAGTTTCAGAGGCCTGACCTTTCTCGCAAGTGAACTGCCTCAAATTTGACTTAGCTAAGCTTCAGCTTAACAACTCTATTGCTTTTTTAAAACCCAGCAGGAATAATGCTAATCTTAAAAATGTTAGAAAGTGCACCTGCCTGTTCTTCCCAGTAAAGGGGAGGTTTTGTTAATTGATGATGTCTTTTTAAATCTTTTCTGCGATGCTGTATGTTCATGGTCTGTGAAATGGTGATTACACTGAATGTAAACTTCCTTACTCACTGTCTGTGTTGGACTGTTATAAATCCTGAACATCAGTGTTCATGTGTTTGTACTGATTAAAAAAATGAGGAAGATATGAACAGTTTGGTACATTGACTTACACAGTTATGAAATTACTTTTCCTAAGGTGTTTAATGGTCAGCATGGGAGTACTGAGTAAGTACTAATGTTTCAGAACATGATTTGAGGCCCACAAAGATTAAAAGATGTTTATGTTTAATTTTGACTTTGAAATGCTTTCATTTGATTCACCTTTATAAAATATAAAAGAGATTCTTCCTTTTCCTAGAGAAATTTTATCTGCAAAATTCTTGGGTTTTGTTAGTTGCTTATTGTCAGTGATTTAGAAATCCTGGTTTGTCCCAAGACTACCTTATTCAAGATACTGTGAAAGTACTCAATAAAAAAGTAATTCACCATATGAATTTGCCTGGTTTTTGTTTTTACTGCTTCAGTTTCTGTATCCTACAGTTCAGTATTATGTTCTGTACAGAATTTTTTTCAAAACAACTTAAATGCTTTTGTGAACAGCCTCTAAGATAGTTGTAATTCCTTTGGGAATTACTGGTAGTTCCATGTCTAAAATGGATTCTCCAACGTGTTTAATTTGAGCTTCAGGCAGATGCTGTGCACTGGGAGGCAGTGTAACACAACTTGTTTGTTAGAGCATGAGAACTGGAGGTTCTATATATTACCTTCTGGCATTCGTTCTGAAATACCTCTTTTCTTGCCAGACTCAGAGATGAATTTCTCTGCAAACAGAGGAGGATTAGATGCATTGCCAAAAACTAAGGCATGTTGGACAGAGGCTCAGCAAATGGTGATGTGGCTCAAGTCTTGGTCTAATTTAGTGAGAGGTGCTTTTTTTTAACAGAATTGTGGAGAGTCCTCAGCAATTAACTCTATCATTCTATTGAAGATGAAGCATTCAGATGTCCCTCTCATAAAGATATCTCAGATGTGTTTTTGTCATAATTAGTAGCAATGAATAGTAATTTGGCAAGCTATGCTCTGTATGTGTAGCTGTTGTAGGTCTTGACTTGAAAGGGATTTTATGGCTAGAAACATTTATTTAGTAGTTGAATTGTTTTGGTGTGAAATACATTGTGATATGAGAAAGATGGAAATTGTGATGGTGTTCTATTAACAGGTTTTATTTTTGGAACTAACTTTTAAAACCTGAAAAAGTACTACTGCAAAGAGAACAATGCCTAGCCTAAGTAAGATATAGATCTTGAAATCATGGTGCATAGTTAATGTGGAGGTTTCTCTAAATCACTGTATTTCATTTCTTTTCTCTTTTAATCATTTGAACCAAGTTAAATTCACTTCCTGGGAAGCCAGTGGAATTAGGTAGGTCGTAGGAAGCAGGCTGTATCTTCCTGTGGCATCAAAGTCTTTGTTCTGTAAAGTGTTACAGGCTACTGCTTTTTCTCTGCCCTTAGACTTAATGACTCCTGCTCATCCTGGTAGTGCTTCATTAGATGAGTCAATGTTGGTTTTGGAAATAATGCTCTTACAGAAATTAAGGCAGTAAATTAATGGAGGAGACTACTTCCAAGGAAAAGGATGTTGTAAACTTGCTACATAGAGATTTTGCAATGGATATGACTTATTTTCAGTTAAATGAGACTCCAAGAGTGTGTGTATATAGTAGGACTGCAATACTGCTTAGCATTGTCTCCACTTACATATATCTGAATTCAAACATACAAATCCCCAAGATAAATATTTTTCTATTACAGTTTTGCTTCTAATATACAGAGAGACTGTTTTTAGGAAAAGCTGTTTCCCAGCTAACAGCTAATTAAAAAGATTATAATGAGTAATATGATGCAAAATGCTGTAGCTTATGCTTACACGGGGGGCTGAAAAGTCGTAAGTATAGTTGTCAGAATTTAGGCAAGGTTACTATAGTATCATCCTTGATCATTTCTACTTTCTTCATAAGGTACCAACACGGGATGATGATCTGAAAGTCTCACTTAATGGAAGTTGACCTCATTGTATTTATCCTACTGACTTTGAAGTTTTATAGTCCTTGCAGGTGGTAGGTAGTGTTTCAAAAGGATTTGTGCTGAATTTAAATGTACATGTGCTTTTTCTCATAGGGTCATAGGATGGTTCAAATTGAAGAGAACATGAGGAAATCTCTTGTCCAATCTCCTACTCAAAGCAGTGCCAGCTATTAGGTCACATAACACTGCTGGAGATTTATCCAGACAGGTCTTGAAATCCTTCCATTTGTAATCCACGATGTTTCTCCTTTGTTGAAAAGAATAAAAAAACCCAATCCGTCCAGTCATAAATGTTAAATCTCAAATGTATAGTTTTGTCTCTGAGATTGGCAAAATAATTACTTTTTTTTTCCCCTGCTAAGTATCATTTATGTTAATATGGGGCAGTGAATACAAAAAGAGGTCTGCACAGTTCATGTTTTGTATGGAGCTTAAAGTTCTGTTTTCACTGTGCCAAGTTTTTCAGCACTTCAGAAAAATTTGGTTTTATGGAAGGGTAAAAATTAATGTGTTGACAAAAAAGATAGGAAAAGTAAATAGTCTAACACATTTTTACCTTTAATACCTGTGAGTTAAATTGGGAGGCATGAAAAAGGGAGTATCTGTGAATCTTTTTAAAATTTCTAGTATTTTCAGTTGTCTGCTCTTCTGGAGAACAGCAGAGCATAGTTGTGGTCTGTTGGAGTTGGCTGGGCTACTTTAGGAAGTGCTTATTGAAAAAAAAAAAGCTTCTTCACATTTCAACCTTTTCTTTCTCTGACTTAGTTTTAGTGTAAACTCTTGGACCACTCGTTTGCAAGAGTAGTAAATATGTTCTTTAGGTGCACCATAACTGCTGGCTGTAGTTTGAAACAGCCACTCAGTTCTTTAGTTAATTTAATACTACTATTCTGTATGGTAGGAATAATCCCTTAGAAGATTATTAGGCAGCATTAATTTCCATTGGAGGTTGCTAAGAAAAATCTGATTGAAAGGTATGGTACATTTTCTTTGCCAGTAGTCTCTTGAAAATAAAGGAAACATATAAACCCTTTGATGTGAGATGCAGCAGTTTGGAATTCACAGAAGTTTGGGGTTTTCTTGTTTGTGTTTGATAAAACTAGCAGAAGTTTTGTTTAGCTGGAAAACCACTGATAGGCCAGTGGCACCAGCATTTTCAAAATTAGGCTACTAAGTACTTGATACAGAAAGACTAAAAGATGTGCTTCTAAATCTCAGATTTGAGAGGGAACAAAGATTACTTGAAAAAACTTTCTGGGAAAGTATTACGGTTCTTCATTAAAATGCCTGCAACATATGTTGACAGATATAATCTGTAGAACCAGGTAGTAAACCTGTCAGAACAAAGTTTTCAAGCAGTTTTTGTTCTAATTCTGATTTGAAAGGTAAGCAAGATTTGGCTTAATTTTTTTTTTTTTTTTCTGCATCAGAAACTCATCCCCAAAAAAGAAAAAGAAGAAATTACCTTTGGCTAAGACCAAGTGCTCAGTGAGAGGATTGACCTTTGCAGGATTCAGAGGCTGTGACAGAGAAATAATGGGCAATAATTGTTCAGAATGAATGTTACCTGATAGGGAAGGTTATTAAGTGAAGCAGTGGAGCTCTATGGAAATGTGCTGGGAGGGAGCTTCGGGGGGTGTCAGGGTTCTGGTTTGTTCAGCTGCTGGCACTGATTGGAAGGGGCTTAAAATGTTCTAATTCTCCTTTTGAATGCCTTTTAGCAACTACTTGCACGTATAGACTTGCCATTGTATCTGTGCAATAATAGTCTTTTGAAGAAAAGCTCAGACAGAAAACACAGTTAAATCTTGCTGTTGGTATTTGAGAACATATTTTCTTTGCATCTGTAAAGGATAGTCGATACAATAATACCTACATGCTAAAAGCCAGTTACTGAAACATTACATGTGGTAGGGTTTTCTTTTATTGCTGTGGAGTAATGTTTTTTAATTAAGGAGAGCAAAACTTCAAAGTCTGGCTTAGCATGCACACAGAAGTTAGTTTGGCATGGGGAAGAGAATATTGTTATGGAACATGTTATTTTGAAACTTCTAGGTGATCTGAAGAAGTCTTAGAGCTGACTTGTCTTTTGCTTCACAGTACACAAAAATAAATACTTCTGTTAAAAAAGTCTTAATCTGTTCCTCATTTGAATATATGAGTTAGTATATTAATTTAAAGAAAACATTAAACTTTTATGTTTTTAAGTGCTGAACGGTAGTGGAAAGCCAAATTGCATACAGTGGAAGTTTAATTTGTCTGTGAACAAATGATTCTTATGGCAGCTTTGAGTACATTCACTGTTGCTGCACTACTTGTACAACTGTCAGAGCTAGAAAGGTGAAGTTCTTTGTATGTTTTTATAACGTGGTGAAAAGAACAATATTGTATACAGAACAGAAAACCACAGACTGGTAGAAGGAAGATGTAGTATCAAATTGTACGTCTGAGAAACTGGTGTATCTCCTGAAATTCTTCTAGGCTTCTTTTGGTATGCCTTGTAATTAATCACTTTGTTTTCTCTGGAGCACTGTGTCTTTCCCATGTTCTAGAGTTGCTTCCTGTTGATTACTGGACTTAATTCAGCTCTTACGGTAGACTTTCTCCTGGAAATTCAGCCAATTATTTTGTGCTTCTAAGTACCAGGAGTGGTACTGCTCTGTTGATTTTCATCTTTAAAGTATGTTTTATCTGGCAAAGAATCTTTCTCAGAACTTGTTCTCCATCAGCCGTAGTCTGCAAGTTGCATGTAAACCAAAGCTTGTCGCAAAAATTGAAATGTTTAGGGCTCGCAGTGTTTCAAATAAATACGTTTTAATTTATTTATACTCATAAAATGTAGTAACATGCAGTAAGGGACTGAAAGGGCAAGAGTTTTAAAAGAGCTGCCTTCAGATTCCTTTCCTTCAAATTAGCCCGTTATTTTGGAAACTAAAAGCATATTGTCGTGTAACTTATTAAGAGCATGTCTATGCTGTGAGTATATAAATTAGCAAACTTGGGAAGAAGGGTATTGCAATATTCAAGATGACAACTGTAATTAGAGCCAATAGGAATTTTGTAACTCAAAGGAAAGTGGGGCAAACAGCATTTCAGTAGTATAAATATCTCCAAATATTAATGCTGTGGTGTCTGTATACATCTGATGGTAGATGTCTTTACCTGATGGAGAAAGTGTCATGGTCTTTAGGAGTGAGTATTTATGAGCGCATGGAATTTTACACATTACTGGTGCTAAAGATACAGGACTGGGGGAGGAGGCAGTAGGAATCCATACACAACTGAATAAAATGTTTAACTGTGCTAGTCAGTTTTAAACTGAGAACAAGGTTACATTGAACCTGTGGGTAGGCAGACCTCTTTACCAGTCTGAAATCCCACAGAAATCACTGGGTTTTGTAACTTTCATATAAAATAAAACTCTAGTTACCTTAATAGTTCAAAGTAAGAATAATCACATAGAAAACAATAGTATTTGTCTTTTATTAGTATATTACAAGCATATAGAAAGATCTGTTGTTGTTATAGTTAATTCCTGAAAGAAACAACACATTCTGATGTGTGTTTTCAGGGAGCATTGAATCTGGGTTTGAGGTTTGCATGAGTTCAGTAGCAGACTTTTTCTCGTAATTCCATACTTTTTTATTTAGGGTTGGTGTATTTTTAATAAAATTTGAGCATGTTCACATAACATGAGAGCCCTTGCTTACCTAACACCCTGAAAGTATTGCTGGTTTTGTCTGGCTTTTCTGTGACACAACCTTACTCTAGGTGCAAAAGCAGTTTGTACAACCTCAGTTAGGCATGTGCTTTAGTGGCTTCTTTGACTTGTCATCACACCAGTCAGAGTGAGGTTCTGGCTGTAGGCAGAATTTTGGGCAAGGACTTGGATGTAGACTTGGTCTTTCCAGGAGTTGGGTTTGAATTTGTCTTGGCTCATAGAAGAGTCTTTGAGGCAGAAGTTACAATGAAGGAAGTCAGTAGTTTTCCAGCACTGCCTTCTGTGTCCTGGCTCCCTGTATGGTCCTCTGTTCCGTAGCAGGACTAACGACCTTGCAGTAAATCAAAGTCCTGGCTGCATCCAAAGCAGCGTGGCCATCAGGGTGAAGGAGCTCATTCTCCCCCTCTACTCTGCCCTTGTGAGACCCCACCTGAAGGACTGTGTCCAGCTCTGGGGCCCCCAGCACACGAAAGACATGGACCTGTTGGAGCAGGTCCGGAGGAGGGCCACAGGGATGTAACACCTCTCCTATGAGGAAAGGCTGAGAGAGTTGGAGTTGTTCAGCCTAGAGAAAGGAGGACTCTGGGGAGACCTGATTGTGACCTTTCAGTATGTAAATGGCACCTATAAGAAAGATGGGGACAGTTTTTTTATCAAGGCCTGTAGTGACAGGACAAGGGGTGATGTTTTTAAACTGAAAGAAATTTAAATTTGGATTGGACATATAGAAGAAATTTTTTAGTGTAAGAGTGTTGAAAAAGTGAAACAGCTGTCCCAGAGAAGCTGTGAGTGCCCCATCCCTGGAAGTGTTCAAGGTCAGGTTGAATGGGGCTTTTGCCAACCTGGTCTAGTGGAAGATTTCCCTGCTGATTGCAGGGATTGGACTAATTGACCTTCAAAAGTCCCTTCCAACCCAAACTGTTCTATGGCTCCATGATTTGCCTGGCAGTAAAAAATGGTTTGTGCTTCACGTGAGCATGAGTTTTCTGTGCAAGGTCTTGTGGTTATGAACTTCTTGCATGTGTAAGAGGGCAGGGAAAGGCAAATAAATTCTTGAACAGCAGGGAGATTGGCAGATGTGCCACAGCATGCTTTGGATCATGCTTACTGCATTTAGCATACTTACCTACAGAAACCATTATTGGGTATGTGATTATCCATAATCATTCATTATCTATTAGCATTCTTCAAGCCCTGTTTTTATGTAAGTCTGTCACAACCTGAGCTTGTCAGTGCTGCAGTGACTGTACACAACATTGAAAGTATTTCTGCATTGTTAAAACTTGAGGATATAAAATCAGCCATTCTTTACAGAGTGGATTTTTTTTTTTAATAGGCACATTTTTACTACTGAACTGTTCTCTTTGTAATGTGACTAGAAAAATCAGAACATATCCACCAGTCAGAAGTATCTTCAACCAGAACAGACCAGCTGTTCTACCACACTGGTTCATTTCAACAGGTGTCTGTGCCACGTGCTGCAGAGGAGGATCAAAAACCAGACATGAGCACTGGTTGTTTGAAGAAATAAAATATTGAACTTAATGTTCATTAAAGTATTTTTAAGTCTCTTTTCGTTGGACTGAAATCATGAAATAACTAACTCTGTGCATCTGTAGGTCAAAGGTCACTTGTTGGAGGACCGTGTGTGTACAGTTTAGTCTAAGAAGTTAACACTGGTTCTATCAGAGTTTGAAGTTAAAAGTAATTTTTAGGTAAAAAAATCCCCACAGGTAATATGTTGTGAAGTCTCTAGGTTTGTTGGTTTAGATCTTATATATTTTGATCTTTCATTTGCTATAGGGAAAAATGCTGGATAGAAAGGAAAATAAGTGTACAAAATGAAAATTACTAATGGTAATAGGGCTTTTAACATCTGTGTATTTTTTTGTATTGTTCTGGTGTCTCACCTGATTGTCAGCATTCAGTGAAGTAAAACAGTGAAGGTTCATTTTCTGTCTTCATCCTGCCTTTGTCTAAGCCCATGGTATACTGACCTAAATAAACTGCAGTTTGCTCTACAAGCATGAATAGTTTTTATCCCTAAAAAGCATTAGTTTTCATCTTCGGTTTTTCATAGGTGCATATTAATTTTTATTAAAGAAGTTATCAACACTATGGATTATTCTGCCTGACCTATTTCTTCTGTTATCTTGATTTATAGTACTTGTCCACGGATCTGTGGTCCCGGCTGCATAACACCTGAAAATCTATCTTAACTACGTGGTTCCAGCTGGGAACTCAGTGATTGTCTCTAAAATTTCAATTGAATTCCTTTGGTTAATTTTTAAAAAGAAGCAACTTGGCTCAGTACACTTTCCAAAACGTGCAGATGCTTGGGAGGTTTGTTTGTGCTTTGTGCCCTACACTTCAGTGTGTCTTATTGACATGAGCTTAACCTTTCACTAAGTGTGCCTGGGTAGTTTCTGATTTAGAGACAGTTTATGTCCAGGTGGCTTGGAGCACACATTTTACTTACAGAATTTCACGTAGGTCTACCCCTAAATGCTTTGCTGTCCTTTGTAAAGCCCTTTGTGTCTCCTGCAGTTGTGTGCCTTGTTTTACGTGTACAAATGTTCCCCGTCTGGGTGAATTCCATAACAATGTGTTTTGTATTTAAATTAGAGGCATCTATACTGGAGTCCAAGAGAAAATGCTGTTTAACTTTGTTTACTTTTCACTGAGCATCATTTAGTGTAGATGTACAAATTCTATTCATTCCTGATGCTCAGAAGTGAGATTGTTCATCTGGAACTAATCAATTATAAATATATATATAGTATGTGCATAATGGAGTGTGTTGGTATGTCAGCTTTGCTTAAGATACAAAACATTAATTATAAAGCAGTTTCAAACATAGCAAATTACACTGTTAAACTAGTCACTGGGAACACTTGGGAGATGTGTTAGAGCCTATTTTTTTTTTCCTCAATAATATGTATATATAAATGTGCAATACAGTATGGAGTTACCACAAGCTTCTCAGTTCTTTTTGAAGTTGAATGATCATATGCAATCAGCCACAATGCTAAATATAGCTCTTAACTTTCTAAGCTGAAGTTTTCTAGATGGCTGTTAGAGTAACTGTTTATATGATGGGGAGTAAGTAGTTCTTTTTTTAACGTTAAGTCTAGAGCACCTGCTGAATGTGGTGTCAGAGTTCTTCAGCATGGAAAAGGATGACTGGAAAAAGGTTCAGTGACTAATGAAAAGGACAAGAGGGAAACACAGCTTACCTTTTTCATATTATCTATAACCTGTCTGATTATTTGGTACCATGTTATCTTTCCACAGATTGTTAAACTGACTGTTTATAGAATGCTTCCAAAACACCTTCTGAGAAGAACTCTGATGCAGAGGCTACACCTGTTCCCAGAGGATGTGAGTAGTCTTGCAGTTACATTTTCATTCATGTGGGATTTGGAGGTGAAGAGGGAATGTTAGTGATAGCACTTGTGTCATAAAAAGGTAAATGAAAAAAGAGTCAAGCTGATTTTTTTAATATATCTATATGTAGTTGAAATGTTGATGCTTTTTTCTTTATTATTTCACAAAACTGTGAGATCCGTGACATGTGTGAGATTGTCTTCAGATATTTAGTTCAAACACTTAGCATGAAGAATGCAGTAGTGTTGACAAATTTTGGTCTGTCTTTGGCGGGAGTGGTGTTGGTTTTTAAACAGTCAGATAGTTAAGATCGTTCTCACCTGCCTCAGGTTATTCCAGAAGATATACAGAAGAACCTTCTACAAGAGATTCCTCAGCCACGTGAAGTCCCCAAGAGGTTAGATGAATATACACCGGAAGAAATTGCTGCCTTTCCAAGGGTTTGGACTCCGTAAGTATCTTAGATTTTTTTTTTTTTTTTTTTTAAAGGACAGTTTGAGTGAATACATGTTCTATAGCCTCCCACACTATTAGTAAGAAAAAAAAGTAATGATTTTTCTGTTTATGTCATCTCTTTTTGGAGAGAGGACATCATTAAAACAAGGAACAGTGATTGCTACATTTTTTTTATTTCTGGCCTTTCTTTTAATGAGAAAAGCTTTACTTGAAGTCATGTTTTCAACTTTTTACTTCATCAAAATGAGTTGAGTAAAAAACTTCATGACCCCATTTGAGCTGTATGTGCTCTGTAATGCATAACTCTGGCTCTGTAAGCTTTCAAAAGCTTATTAAAATCAGTTGTTCTTAGGCTTCTCGTTCTGTATGAAACTAAAACAAAGTCTGTGTGTCAATTGTGTGTAATCAAGGCACTGTGTTACAGTCTGTGTTGAAGAGAACAGAATCCAGTAAATGCTTCAAGTCCTCTTCGGGGCTGAAACGGGGTCATTGGGTTTGACATTTTCTAACCTGTGTTAGTTATACAAATTGTTAACTTTGCTTTTATCCTCACTACTGGATGGAGCTGAAGATGCTGGTATGTCCTGGTTCCTATGAGATTTCAGTGGATTAGCCCTGAAGAAATTTACACTCCACACCAATGACCAGAATTCTGTAGTACATGAGAGTAAGGCTGATAAGCCTCTCCTGTCATGTGGCACGTTATAGTTTTGTATAATTGTTTTTAATGTCAAAACTTATAAAGACTCTCTCATGATAATCTAGCACTGAATGGGGAGCTGGCACTTAGCTTAGCTAACTAAGTGGGAGTATCTGTATTGTCCAAGGAAATGGTGTTATGTTGCCAGAGCTTTTGAAATGCACTTTGTCCCCCTGCACTGCCATAGTCTTGGCTGAGTTCATCTCCTTAGCACTGGGACACCTTAATTGTGTTGACTTGTAGGTGTGTGTGGCAGAGGACAAGTAAACTTGATGCCATCTAATTTAGTTATTGCTGTCAAACTAAGTTCGCTAATATCTTCATCATAGAATTGAGATGGCTACTTCAGCATGTTGATCCTTGAGGAAAATCAGCAGATACAACCACTACTGAAGCTAGAATTCCCCTCCTGTCATTTCTTGGAACCATTCCCTCTGGAGGGATTCAAAGCACAGGGATAATAGCCATTCCCTTTTTTTATATTTCTCTCCTCTACAGTCTCATCCAGACTGATTGCTGGTAACTGCTATCTGTATACAATCTTTTTACTCCATGCCACTTATGGAGGTTAGGGAATGCTGCTGCCTTACAAACCCTGCAGCTGCAGCAGATTTGGAGGCTTTCAGCTCAGGAGATCATAGTGCTTCTCCTGTGGGAGGGCTGGGGAGCTCAAGTACGTAATCTGGTGAGAAGAACCAGAGGAACAGATGCACCTGAGAGGAGAGGAATGAAATAGTGGGTCTAAAATGAGTGTGAGAGAATGCCAGAGAGAGTTAGTGGGGTCTAGGTTGGGTAGAGAAAAACAGAGGGGAATTTGGGAGAATTTTAATGCTCTTGAGTTGAGAGACTGGGCCAGAATTTTCCCTTCAGTCAGCTACTTCATCTAGAGCCACTTTTAAAGGCAGGAAGGCATATCTAACACTGCTGCCATAGCTTTGCTGCGCTGGACTTTAGTCCTACCTTCTTTTCTGTGCTCAGGAACTGGTAAGACCTGGCAGAGAGGTAAGAGTGAAGATGGTTATCTACTGTCTCTCCCCCAGCCTCAGGGCTCATCACTGTTGTAATTTCAGGTTTCTTGTTCTGGCCTGCAATCAGACCATTGTGAATCTCAGATATTAGTGTCAGATAGCTACGTTTTAATTTAGCCTTCAGCTCACTTTTTTTAGCAGTTTTGATGTTGGGAAGAGTTTCCAATTTGAAATAATGAGAAAAATAACAATGCTTTTCCTGTCTGAGGGAGTAAGTGTATTGTGATTCTGTAGCATTCAGAGTGCTACGTGGGGAAGGGTTTAGTTGTGAAATAAAAGATAAAGAAATGAGCATATTTGGTAAAATAACTTTCTGATGTGGTAAGTAAAATAGAGAAGTCTGTAAAGGGGACTCAGGGTGAATTGTAGCAGTCACTGTTGCCAGCAGGAGTGTCTAGAATAGACAGCTTTGCACCAAACTCACTAGAAGAAAGGTTGTATGAATGTCTAGCTGTAACAGACTCTGTCTTCTGAGCTTTTTCAGTGTGTGAACCCATGGAACAAGTAGTTTTTGCATTACTCCTTTGAAAGACTGTAGAAGTGACAAAGATTGAAGTATTTACATATTCTTTTTAGGGGAATATAATAAAAACATTCTTCTAAAAAACAGTCAAAAGAGAAGACAGATTTGTTCAACAAACCAAAGAGTTAAAATATCATTGTATAAATATGATAATTTGAGATACACCAAAAAAAAAAACAACTACCTGACATTATTTGAGAAGAGAAAATGTGAAGGGAACATGAGTTATTTTTGGAAATCCAAGTATTGCAGAAACACACATGTATCTCAGAATGAAAAACTGACTCTGTTTGGGTTCCTCATCATTTTATTCTTTCCAGCTGACAGGATGCCCGGAGAGATTTTAGAATCTCCAGCCATGGAGATGTTTTGAACTCACTGCGCGGTTCCTGAGCAACCTGATGTAATGTTGAAGTTAGTCCCGCTTTGAGTGTGGTCCTTTCAGATGCAGATTTTTCTATGGTTCTTTATGTATGATGAAAGTAAACAAACACAGATAGCAAAATAGATTAGTATTTTAATAAATTGTGTTAAAGAACCCCAGTGCACAGGTTGCTAGTAGTGTTGGTCCTGTTTGGCTTTTCCTTGGGCTATTGTTTGTTGTTCTGTTCTAGGATCTTAGTTCCCTGTGTGAGAACAAACACATGGTGCTAAAATGAGTAGCCTGTTCATGTCCTCTGTGTCCTGCATTCTGCATTTGGGATGTAAAAAGCCTTGTTTAGACGTGGGTATGTGAGCTTCTGCAGAACCCATAGATAGCTTCCAAGCAGTAAGAGTAATCCTTGCAATAAACCAGAAAATGAAGGATGCAGAAAAGGTATAAACTTTCTTTTTTTTCTTCAGATGGTTTTATTAATTCTTCTTGCCTTATGTGACTTTTGTTTTTAATTATTATTTATCTTCCATGAAGTTCTGAGCCTGGTCACCACCTTGTTTAACAAAGGGTAGAGGTTCAAAAAGGAGCTAAATACCTCTGAGAGTGATTTAAAAAAGGAGGAATTATAGGGTAACAGTGTTTGTGGTTCATCTTCTTTCTACAGAAAAAAAAAAAGTTGATACCAGCCTTTTAAAATAACTATGCTTTAATGAAAAAGTTCAATTGAAAAGCATAGCTTGCTTAAAGGTATGTAAGACTATAAATATAGGTAAACACAATTACAAGTAGAAATTAATCTTTAAGGTTTTACATTAAAACTTACACCCAAGAAATGTACCTCACCATATGTAGAACAGCCATAAGCTGGATAATAGGGAATGAATGTATATAACTGAATTTATATGAGAAATTACTAATACTAGGAGGAAAATACCCTTTTTCTCTTTAATCTGAAATAATAATGCAAATCATTTTCATTTGGAATGTGAAGACAACATGGTCAATGCTGCTAACAAGCTCATTGGACTTTTAACCTATATTTTATATCTAAATGTCTTGCTGTAGTTATGTTTTTAAAGGCTGTTTTGCTGGTAATTGGAGACTCACCCACCACAGAGAAATATGCAATATCCATGTGGAACTCTCTAAAACAGAGGAAGTTTTTAAGAAAAGCACAGGTCTGGTGTGGAAACCCAGCAAATCATTTGGTGTCCAGAGTGGAGAGCGTTCCCATCACCCTTCCTTCCACCACAGCAGAGTTCATAATGGGGCATCAAGGAGGATCCTGTTCCATGAAAGTGGAGAATTAAATGTCAGAATATTTCTAGTCAGAGAGACTTTCTTTGAGCATTCTTTCCTTTTACCCATAATGGGAACCAACTGACTTTCCAACTTGTGCAGAGGTTCCTACTTAGATCCTCCATGGAGAGGTATGAAGTTTAGTGTGGTGTAGATACAGGAAAGTTAAATTATGTCTTTTCCAGACATACTTCGAGGGGGGAAAGATCAGAAACTGGTTTCTCTGACAAAGTTTGAATTTGTACTATGAATGAAACGTTTATTTCAACTGTTTGAAGTTTCAGATTTTATGTCTTTTAAATGAGTTTTAAATAGAAATCATCACAGAATTTACCAGTCACATATGACTAAGCAAACAATTCTGTTCCGTGAAAGCAAGGACACATCAGATTCATGGGGGAATTTTCCTGTTATATACCATTTGAAAGTTGTTTTACTGTCTGGGTATATATATGTTTTGAGACATTTTTAAAGTCAGGAAATTGTTTTTCAAGAAGTATTTAAATAAGAATGTTACCAGATATATGGAGCAGCAGCTCTGTGTTGGTGCAGTGAGGTGGATGCATTCCTGAGAGTTTCCCTTAAGAAAGCAGAGCCATCTGATTTGTAGGAGTGTGCTCGGGCTGGTGCTGCCGCATACTGAGCTCCTGTTCCACTGCCAGCCCTCCCGGGAACTCCCCTCGGGCCAGACAGCCCCTCCCTTGGCCTTTCGGGGGATAAAAAAGTTCTTGAACGCTTTTGATGGTTTTAAAACTTGATGTATTGTAAACTCTGAAATCTGGTTCAAGAAAACCAAACACCTTTTTAGTGTTTATTTTTCTGAGCAACTTGCCTGATTTCCGCCCCCATCCATACACCCTGCTTTGGGGCAGCGGAATGCAGAACCTGGTCTGAAGCTGTAATTTTGTTTCAGCTGAGCAGGATGGGCTGGGCAGGGTCCCAATACTGACACTGCATGTCATCCCCACGCCATGGCACACAGATTCCTGGTCATTCATCAGCAACACTCCGTGGCTTTGAAAGCAGAGAATCACAATGTTCTCAGGAAGAAAAGTTTGTAGGTGATGAA